AAAATAATTTTTAATACAAAAAAATGATTACCCCAAAGTAATGTAAAATTCATTGACTGCTTATGGGGATGAAAGCAATCCATTAAAATACTAGTGGCAGATGTTTCTGGAGAAGGCCGTGATAAAGCTGCAAACCCGTCCCCCAAAGAGCCTCTAGCATACACTAGACTCCCACAAGTCACTGGGTTTGGGGTGGTTTTCATACTTTCCATCTGCCTCATTCTTCTCCGTGTTCCACTACAGCGATTTCAGCACAATCTCTTATTATCAGAAGGACACAACCTTCAATATGAAAAGGCCATGATTCTCCAAAGTAGAATATTGAGTTTCTTTCACACTATTTTTCCCCCACACAGTGGAAGGATTTCCTTCCTCAAGAAAACAAAACAAATAAACAAAACCATGAAAAAGTATACGGGGACTTCATCAATCATTTACAAATCTGCATTTTCCCCTTTTACATTCCCACATATACAGATCTTTACTCAACACAGCTACTACTATTCTGCTGCAAGGCAGAGTGAAGTTGTGCGAATGCCTGCGACAGATGCACTGTCCCATCAAACCTGATAAACAGAACACCTTCTTTGGAATAATGCTCCATTATGTTCTTCACTACCTATCTCCACCTCTGGTTAAGAAGACCTGTAATCTGTCTTTGCCCAACTCTCCACATTTAAAGTACAGAAGATAAACCCCTCAGCCTTCAGCTAAGTTATGGTAATGCGTTCAACAAACTGTGGGTAAAGGGCTTCAAATTCCCCGGAAAAAACCGTGATCTATAGCTTCTTAGGATTGCCCATTAATAATGCAAACAATTCTCCTGAAGTTTCAATATCTGCTGTATGGATAACAATTTATCTAAAAAAATTATTCATTCATGTGTTTGTTCATTGTACAAATGGTTATAGACTGACACCGAAACAGGCCCTGTTCGCAGCGCAGGCGATATGGTACAGGAGTCAAGCATGGACACGCTGCAGTCAGTCTGCTTGAATTTGAACTCTGGGTAACCGTGAGATCATGTGAGTTGTTCCAAATCTCAGTTTCCTCTCTGCCAAGTGGGGATAGTATAGTACCTGTTCTTTGAGAGTTCGAGCTGTACTAAATGAGATAAGGTATATAAAATGCTTCTCATGGTGGCCAGCACAAAATAAGCACCCAGCGTATGTTAGACATTATTATAAACATACATAAAATCCAGCCCTTGCCTTCAGGGTTTTGATATAGAGTCTACATCTTTCTTACATATTCTTCTAGGTCAGGGCGTCTCAAAAGGCAGGTGCACTGGGAGAAAATATTTGCAAAAGGCACATCTGATAAAGGACTGTTATCCAAAATATACAAAGAACTCTTAAAACTCAACAAGAAGAAGACAAACAACCCGATTAAGAAATGGACCAAAGACCTCAACAGACACCTCATCAAAGAAGATATACAGATGGCAAGTAAGTGTAAGAAAAGATGTTCCACATCAGGGAAATGCAAATTAAAACACCAACAAGACACCAGTATGTAACTATTAGAATGGCAAAAATCCAGAGCAATGACAGCACCAAATGCTGGTGAGGATGTGGAGCAAGAGGCACACTCATTTATTGCCAGTTAGAATGCAAAATGGTGTGGCCACTTTGGAAAACAGTTTGGCAGTTTCTTACGAAGCTAAACATACTCTTATCATACAATCCAGTAATCGTGCTCCTTGGTATTTACACAAAGGTGTTGAAAACTTATATCCACACAAAAATCTGTGCACAGATGCTTATAGCAGCTTTATCCATAATTGCCGAAATTTGGAAGCAACTAATTTTCCTTCTGTAGGTGAATGGATAAGTGAACTGTGGTAGATCTAGACAGCGGAATGTTCTTCAGCACTAACAAGAAATGAGCTATCAAGCCATGAAAAGACACGGAGGAAACTTAAAGGCATGTTACTAAGTGAAAGGAGCCAATCTGAAAAAGCAATATACTGTCTGATTCCAACTATATGACATTCTGGAAAAGGCAAAACTATGGAGACAGTAAAAACATCAGTGATTGACAGTGGACATGGGGAATAATATGAATAGGCAGAGAACAGAGGAGTTTTAGGACAGTAAAATACTCTGTATGATATTATAATGATGGATATATGTCATTATGCTTTTGTCCAAACCCACAGAATGTATAACACCAAGAGTGAACTGTAATGTAAACTATAGACTTTGGGTGACTCTGCTATTATGATATGTCAATGAAGTTTCATCAGTTGTAACACATGTGCCATTTTGGTGGGAGATGTTGATACTGGACAAAGCTATGCATATGTGGGTGCAGGACGTATATGGGAAATCTCTGCACCTTCCTCTCAATTTTGCTGTGAACCCAAAACTGCCCTAAAAAAATAAAAAGTCTTAAAAAAAAAAAGCTATTGCCATTCATCACATATGGTTGACACCTTGTCAGAGAGAAATTTCTGCTTATCCTCTGGCTGCAGAAGTATTTCCTTCCTTCTTTCCCCATCCTTTCCCCATGATGATGAGACTTGGGAAGAGATTGGGGAGCCCTGTTTTAAATCAGGGATTGGCATACTACAGCCCTTAGTCCAAATCTGACCCAACACTTGTTTTTATAAATAAAGTTTTATTGGAACACACCCACAGCCATTCCTGTATGTTGCTTGTGGCTGCTTTCTCACTACAATGGCAGAGTTGAGTAGTTGCTGTGGAGACATTATGGCCCATCAAACCTAAAATGTTTACTATCTGGGGATTTACAGAAAATGCTTACTAATTCTTAATCTAGATTATGATGATGAGAACAAGGAGGGAAAAAATAAGAGTAAAATAACTCTTAAAGAGAGTAATATGATTTCTATTATACAAATAAAGGCATTGAAGCCCAGAGACATTACGTAATCTGATCAAAGTGACAGAGCTAATACACGGCAGCTAACATCACTCCAAAGTTTGTGCTCTTAATTCAGTTAATCAATACCTATAAACTAATGAGTGCCTACTATTGGTGTCCAGGGCATTAGCCATTAGGGATATCATGGTACACCTTATTCTAGGTAATGATAACTGAGTCCATTCTAGATAATAGTAACTCTTAATGCTGTCATTGTTTATTGAACGTTTACCACAAATGTACTTCTTCCAAGTTTACCCACATCTTGGTATCTCTATCTTCACACTTTCTCCTGCAGCTTCATGTGAAAATAGAGAAAGTTAGGTAAATCCTTTTTTCCTTAGGAAGATTCCTCACTGTTCACTGGACCCTAGACTCATTGTTGGATACTAATTTTTTACTTGCTTTTTACTTTAGCTTCCTCTCTTTCAACAAGTGCCCATAGTCCCCCACCTAGAGTTGCCAGATAAAATACAGGACACCAGTTAAATTTGAATTTCACATAAATAATGAATAGTTTTCTAGTGTAAGTATGTCCCATGGAGTGTTTTGGACATATACAAGGTGTCTTGCCTTTTTATTTACCGAATCTGACAACTTTAACCCCATCCCAATATTTTTGTAGCTGGAAGATGAATTATCCACTGAGGAGTGGCAGGGCATTTACCTGGAAGGTCTTGTGGGTGAGGAAAAAAGAGCGCATGATTTGCTGTTAGGAGATGTGCGTGCCGGGACAGCTGGGCAACACACCCACATTTCAAGGTAGCTATATTTCACCCCCATGAAATGGGAATGGTGCTGCCCTACTCTCTGGGTTTTGTGAGGACTCAATGAAATGCTGTGTGTGAATAGCACTGTGCTTGGTAAAGGGTAAGTGTTGTCTTCTCTCCAAGTAAAATTTGTTAATTCGTTTTGGTTATTCCCTTTGATAGTTTTGATTCTGAAAAATAGATGTTCCTCAATATGCCCTCAGCACAGGGCTGTTGGATTCCATGCCCCGAACCCCTTTCTTTCCCAGCATCTGACTGAGGAATTTCAACAATCACTAAAACTGATTTAATCATGAAGTCTACAATATCCTCCCCTAGTTTATAAATTCCGTAGGAAAGAAATTTTAATTCAACAAATTAGGTCGCTATAAAATGAAGGATATTCCATGCATATATTCCTTAGCGTTTCCTTCAATGAATTTTAATAGCTCATGATCAGTTATATTACCTGCTTCTGAGTGCCACCCTGTTTCAAATTCCATATTCACATTTGATGGCAGCAAATAAAAACTCATTTCTAAAAATTTCTCAAATAATGGAATTTTCATTCTCTTTGTTCACTCAGTAAATGCTAGATCCTTCTTATTCTAAGGTCTCGTTTAGAGACTGGAATTTCATAGTCGGAGTTAATGCAGTTTTTCATCTCTTACCTTAGCAGGGAACAAAGACAGGATAAAGTAATACATAAAAAAAAGGGAAGAAAAGAAACAAAGGCAAGTAATCCATGTAGACAAATTGGAGCCAAATTGTTTACTGCTTAGTCTTCACTTAGAGTCTTTGCCTCCATGCTTTCCAGCAAATAGTTCCTAACAGCTCTCACAGTTTCTCGAAAATGCAAAATAGAAAAAACACTCTGTTACGTGTCTCCAGGAGATGGCCCATGTTGGAATATGATCATGGAAAACTTCAGTCCATAAAGGCATTAACTTATTTCTCATGAATCTCTTCAGTCAAACACTCTCTGCTAAATTCCTGTGTCAGGAACAAAGCATAAAACCCTCCACTCTCTGTTGTTCCCCGTTATTCTTAACACTTCCACTTCTCCACTCGGAAAAAAATGAAAGGAAAGTAAAATTGAGGAAATCAAGAAGATTTACTATTAGAAATAAAAAAATGAATCACCACTGTGAATGAAGAACCCTAGAGCCAAGGGGATTTTTATTTCACATTGCAATGGGGCTTTTTGGTCCAAGTAAATAATATCACATGAGAGCTGTTTTGCTCAAGTTTCTTCCAAGTGAAAACTGTCCACAGGATTTAAGCCTTAAAACAATATGTTTGAATCCTAATATATGATCATAAGAAATTAATGGAAAACATTTACAAACTTCTTCTCCCCAGGTAATATTCTCCAGATCACTTTAGAATCTGATGAAATGAAAGCGGATGACAATTCTACTACAGACTAAGATCTTTGAAATGGTCTTAGATCCCAAAAGCATGAGTCAGTGAAGTGCCCGGTGCTTCTGCTTCCTGTAGAGTAGATGAAAGTCTGACTGCCACAGCCCGTTCTCTGATGACGATTTCCCTGCGCCTGTTATTCACGGTAGGAAAAAGACTCACTAATGTATCACCACCTAAACTAAAAAGAGGATGAAAGTCATTTTCTGCTGCTAAGAAATGCTGGGCCACAAACAGATGAGGAAATTTGAAAAGGAAAATGGGGGAAAGAGCACATAAGACCCAATGTCTTCTGGTTTGCATTGCACCCAGAAACAACTTGGAACTTAATGAGGCTAAAAAAGAGACAAGGGTGGTGGCATGGATGGGGAAGTTTTTATACCCCTGGAGCTGTGGGTTTGGGGGTGATATTGTCTGACACACAATTCCCCCAAACCACTCTCCATCTGTCCCAGAGCCTACTGTGACAGATGCCTGCCTTTGAAACAAACTATCATCTCTCGTGCTTTGCTTGTAATCTCTATGTCTTCCTATGGGAAAGAACTTAGACATGGATCCATGGTCAACCATTATTTCCAAAAATGGTACCTTAGTAAAAGTTACCTAATGAGGCCCTAAGTGCATTAAACACATAACAATTAAATTGTGATGGGGGTGGGCGAGCAGAAAGTCTGGAACCACACCAGGAAGACCTAAATTGTCAGGGCTCACCCCAACAACACTGGTGCCTGGAGGAGGGGAGGTGTTGCAGTGGACAAAGGAGAAATGGCCTAGGACACATCCACTCACATCGCATCTTTAAAGAGCCTGCTCTGCTTAGCTGGGAGAGGAGGACGGGTAGAAACGGGATGGGGGTTCATCTCTATTTCCAAACACCCCTCAGGTCTCATGTGGCTTTCTGATTTCCTCCTTTTTAAGCCACTCAAATGGTAGGTCCTAAAGAAACAAAAAGAATATGGTTAAACATGGAAGCAAGAATTTTGGATAGCTAATAATTTGCAACTCTTTAAGCCAATATTCTTTAAATACTTGTTTGACTCAGAGGAGACACTATGTGCTACATCAAGGAAAAGTGAGAGGGAAGATACGTGGGGAGCCCTCAGTTTCTTTTACTTTCCTGAGCAGCTCAGCTCTGGCTTCCACCACGTGGAGCAGCAGCCAAACAAAACTACACTTTAACCTTCACTGTTACCAAAGCCTGCCCAATGGGCGGTCTCACAGTGCCCCGGCCCCAGCCCACCCGTCTTGTCCAAGTATTCCTTCCAACTACATTGAGCGCAATCTATGAGAAAAGTTCTTGCAAAACCTGTGTTCTTTCTTATTTCCTGTCCAGTAACGCTTACTGCCCCTTCTCGATTAGGAGCCTGGGGGGAGAAGTCTAGCAACCTCACTCCTTAACCCGTCCCTGGTGGAACAGCTGGCTGTGGATTCTGAGAGGCTCCCACCCTTTCATCTACCGTCAACTGAATGCTGCTCAAGACTGTTCACCCTACATACCCCTTCTCTCTTCAGATTTTGACCTGTCCTGGGAGTAAAAATCCCACAAAACAAGCAAATCCCCTAATACATCAGGGCTGAGGTGGCAGAAAAGCCAGCCAAGAAGATTTGTGTCTCAGCAATTTACAAAGAGCCTGGCACATAGTAAATGTTCACTAAATACTTGTTGAATAAAAATAATTTACTGGAGGGGCCGGCTGGATGGTGCAGTAGTTAAGTGCGCACGTTCGGCTTCTCAGCAGCCCGGGGTTCACCTGTTCGGATCCCGGGTGCGGACATGGCACTGCTTGGGAAGCCATGCTGTGGCAGTCATCCCACGTATAAAGTAGAGGAAAATGGGCTAGGATGTAGCTCAGGGCCAGTCTTCCTCAGCAAAAAGAGGAGGATTGGCAGCAGATGTTAGCTCAGGGCTAATCTTCCTCAAAAAAAAAAAAAAAAAAATTTACTGGATGAGCCACAGGGCCATAGGATAAGGAAGATATGCTGTCTCCTACCTGCATGTGTAATTGAAGGTATATTTGTTTATAATTTGGCTCTATCTTGATCTATTTTTCAAAAATAACAGCTGATATTGAAGTGAATGTTATTTTCACATATGACAATAAGGAGTGGCACTGAATTAGGAAAAAAGAGCCTTTCTGTGCTTTCACATTTCCACTGATCTCTTGATTTGGCCTTGGGCAAGCCCATGTGATGCCTCTGAGTAGACAATAACACCCAGGTTTAAAACTGACGTCCGCTACCAAATCCTCACATCAGCATGTTCCTCTTGCCACTGACATGCAAACTTAAGACAAGAGCAGGTTTAAACTTATGCTGAAGTTGGATGAATGAGTAAACCAGCAGCCACCTGTATTTCCAAACACCCTCAGGTCATCATGTGGTTTTCCCATTGGTTCACCAGCCCCACGCTCAAGCTAAAGTGTGGATCGCCTGGAATGGGCTGGATGATTGGTTCCCCTTCAATGACCCTCAGCATACCTGCTGCGTGCACATGTGGAGTTCCTGACAAAGATGTTTATGAGGTAGGAAATATGTCACAGGACCCCTCAAAGTTGCTCTCGGATGGAATGAAACTTGGAATAAATGTGACATCAGATAGAATTATAAACTGACTTAGACTATTAACCAAAACTCTCTCGGATGCAGTATAAGGAACAATGATAACTGATTTTCATAATTACAACCCAGAGAGACTGCAAAATACTGAACTGTCTTCTGAATCTTCCAACAAGAATATTGTGTAGTGTGATTTTAGTTTGTCTGTTTCAATATATTTGAATTCTTTGAAAAATCCTATTCCTCTTATAATATATAATGCCCACATTTTATTAACCGTAATATCTGAGCAACTAGAATATATAAATCAAATTCTACATAAGAAAGAATTGACTGACCCCTGATTCCCATATGGAAACAGGAGGTGAAATTTATAGAACTCCCCAAGCTTTATTTCTGGTAGTGGAGAAACTCAACCACAATTACGTAAGTCTTTTGGAGAGACACAGAGGAATGAACATGTTCTCAAGATAGAACATTTTTATATCATTACAGGGCACTGTTCCAAGTTCTCCTTTGGTCATGACTTTAAGCATAGGTGAAATAGTAAAGAATTGAGTATTCTATTAATTTATCAACTACAGATGCTTTCCTGGAACTTCTCCTGAGTAAGACCCTGTTTCCTACGTCCTAAGCCAAAGGTCAGATCTCAGTCCATACAACCTGGCTCAAAAAGATGATCTGGGCCAAGTAGATTCTGACTGGTGGAGTTCTTGAACTAACATATTGTGTGCAAATTAGACACTTAGTGAGAAATGAAATTGTAGGTAATGATTTAGAGAGCAATTGGGAACTTGGCTGGGAAATCATGATGGACCATTTTCAAGTGAGGTTTTGAGGGAGTGGAAATTATGAGCAAGCAGACACTCTTGTGGTAGGGATATAAATTTATTTAAACTACAGTTTCACTGTGCAGAGAAAATACAGCTTCTTCATTTGATTTCTAACTCCTTTAATCTTCTTCATGAGCCCCCATCCACCGGGTAACAAAAGGAACAAAGCAAAATAAAACACTTTAGTCCAGTTCTTAGCTTGAAGTAAAAATGTTGACATTCCTTTAGGTATTGCTCAGTTTTTAGAATTTTATTTGTTTCCCCTCTCTATTTCAATATGGTGTCTGAGTCTATGGAACAAGTGGGGCTTGAGTGACTTTGTGGCTCTGAAGGGAAAGAGACCTAAAAGCCACTCAATATCCTTTATCTCCTCTAGTCTCCACAGACATGACCCTTGACCCAGCCAACACCTGGTCACTCACAGCTGCCACTGGCAGGTGGTATCACTTATGATCTGATCTCTTGCATCTTGGACAGTGGCTGGTGGCCCTCCCTGGCTCACGTGGCCTCACTCTACTCTCACGGATGCTAATGACCCCTCCTAAGACTCCCATTCATCTGCTGCAGCATCACAACATTCTTGCTAAGAAACAGAGCTCCCCAAACTCTCAGTTTCCTCTACGTTGAACCCACATCCCTGGAGCACCAAAGGTAGACCAGAAACGCTAAAACATCAGGAAGTTCATCTCTTCTGCCACACGACATCACCAAGTTTACTTTGACAAAGCTGTCCCAGAGAGCTGCAGAGGGCAACATGGGAAGCGATTCCCTTGCAGAGTCCCCGGTGTAGAATTGAGCAGGATCCTCATGCTGTTGAAGTACCCCAAATTACCTAGGTGTTCCTCAAGCTACCCACTGTCCTTGAAGTTTGGCTTTGAGGTGGTGGTAAGAGATAAGAGGAAAAGAAAAATAAGTGTCTTTGTTTCACTTCCACCTCTCTCCTTTTTCCCACAGTCCTTCAGGCTAGAAACAGCAGGGTTTCCATCACTTCCCCTGCAGCATATCATCCTTCCTCCATTCCTAGTCAAGCCTTAGGACGTGGCCATACTAGATGGAAAAAGTATCATCTCCATACCGTGAGAGGAATTCTATGATCTGACTCATCCAGGTTAGTTCTTGAAAATCTACAGGGATTTAGAAAATCCTCTCTCTCATCCAAGCCTGGTTTTCAAATCTGTTATTTTCTCATAAGACAAGGGATTTCATGCCTGAGCTTCAGAGGTGGAAAACTACAAAGAATATAAGTTAAGAGGGAAAATAAAATACATTAGTTTAACATTTTGCAAATATTATCCTCATTATACTATAGAGAATAGAAAATATATTTGTAAAGAGTGAGGGAGTTGGTCAGAAGTGAGAAAAACTGAGATGCAGACGTGGAACAAAATGGAGCCCGTTTTGGTGGAGCGCCAACATGAAACACACAAACATCTTACTAGAGCCCTTTGGGTTAAGGAAGACTCTCTAGTTACCAGCTCTCTGAGGCCTCCTTTTGTTTGTTTCTTTAGCTCTTCCTGAGTTCCCATGCTTGTGTATAAATCTTTAATTACTCCATTTAACTTGAGTGCATTTCTGTTCTTAAAGTCAAAATATCCGAAAGAACAAAAGCTTTCAGTTAAGGCTTTGATATTCCACAATGTATACATTACGAGCGTGAGTGTCACCAAGTCTTATTTCATGTTTCCTGTAAATGTTTTTCTAATCCATGCCCCCACTCAACTCCAGATCCCACTTGCGGCCAACACCCCCCACCCCCCCATCACCACCATCTCACTAGCGGGCCAGCCTGCCCCCAGACTCTCTACTCTCTATTATTTTGCAATTCTCACCCTGTTAGTCTCCCTGAAATTCTACCTTCACCACATCCTCTCCCGCTCAGAGACTGACACCTCCCTGTCATATCAAGTTGGATTTGCCTCAGTCCAGTCTGCAGGCTCTGCCCTCGTAAACTAATCCAAATTCTCTCTCTGCTCACCATTCCTCTCCTCTCGGCTGGCTGATGTCCAGACTGGCCCGGGAGTGGGAACACTGCTGACTGTGCCTGCTCTCACAGTTTTTACATGTCCGCAGATGATTTTTGCCCCTCTCCACTGCTAATTTAAGTCCAACCCATTTTTCCAAGCCCATCTCAAATCCAATTTGCTTTCTGTTTCTCCAAACTGTTGGTACTCTAGGTCATCCCACAGCACTTCGGAGCTTATTGATATTCCATCTTTGAATAATAGATGACATCAACAGCCAATATCTGTTGAGCACCTTTTAGGGGCTAAAGTGCTTCATGGGGATAGCTCATCCGATCTTCACTCCATCCCAGAGAGGTGGGCACCATAATAGGCACATTTGAAGATGAGGAAACAGCCTCCTGGCAGTTCAGAAGCTTTCGTAAGGTTATTGATGGTAAATTGATGGAGGCAATATTTGTGCCAAGAAATCAGATTCCAGAGGCTAAGCTTTCGGTTTTTATGGCATACTGTCTCCAGAGAATCGTTCCTTCGAACTTAAAGTGTCTTCATCTTTTCTCTTCCACTAGACTATAGTCTATACAGGCAGGATCATGACGTCTGTGCTTTCTGGGTCCTCCTAAGCAAGCACATAATAGACCCCTGAATGATACTTCTTATCTCCCTCTGACTGGCCTTTCCCACTGAACCATCATTTTTCAGATATAGAGCAAGATGCCCATTGCACTTGAGGTTTACTCAGACTCTGCTGAGATTCTGTGCTGCGTTTCTCCTGTTTCTTCCCATGAATGCTCTGTGAGCCCCTGCATGGCTAAGGTACCAACTATCAAAGGTAGGAGGCATCTGATGCCCTCTTGGAGGTTCCACTTCCCTCTCTCTGTCCATCCTCCAGGCTTGATTTCTAGTGTCACAGGACCCTGGCCACTACCTGATGCCCTCTGCAATGCCAGAGCTGCATAATGTTCCTAAACCTACCTTCCAGGCACACCAGCCCCAAAGGATTTGATAAACAGGACTGTAGCCTGCAGAAGGCCGTCTCAGACCAGCTCCCCTGAGGCTGGGCTTTTTGAATAGTGTTTAAAGGAGACCCCAATGATCTCTCCTTGAAACACTCAGCAGCTCTGTGATTTATTTGGAGAGAAACCAGCTGCCCCAGCAAGAGCGGAGAAATATGTGGTTTGCTAACAGATTTTAAACATTAGAGCTTAGACCTTCAAAGGGGATTTTCCCAAGGGGATTTCTCTTCCCTTTCCTCAATGAGCAGCCACGAGCATTCAGGACTGCCTTAAATTGTGGTGAAACGAGGCTTTGAGACTGTCAACGTTTGGCGTGGGTCTTTGTGGACGGTATGCAGGAGATTTGCAGGTCTGGGCCTGACAGGAGAAGGTTCAGCAGGGGCCACTTTGTTGTAAGAGGACTTCAGGGTAGCAATCACTCACTTTCTCAAAAAGCATCTTCCCTAAAAACAGTATGGCGCCTCCTTCCTCTCCAGCCAGCATAGCAGTCTCTCCAGAGCCACTCTCTCTTTTTCTCTCTCTCTCTCTTTCTCTCTCTGCTTCCTCTTCCCACACACTGTCCTCTTCGGGAGGAAGAAGAGAACAAAGCACATTCTAAAAGATCTACCCAATTTCTCAGAGCACAAACCTCCTGTCATCCTAAGGTCTGACTGTGGAAACTGGGAGCAACCTGGTCAACGATGACACGACCAGATCATTTAAGGATCCCCTTAAAAGGCCTATTGTTTGTCTAAATTTCTGCCCACAGCTGCCTGTTTAGGAAATGTAACAAAAGCACCATGAAATCCTGTTTGATCTCAGCCGTATTCACTGCTAATCCCACAGGCTGGAAAAGTGGAGCTTGTTTCAAGATGGAGGAAGGGTGGCTTTTGTGATCATGACAAACATCAGGCACTTCCCCTTCCAAACATGTCAGGGGTGATATGGGTTTTGGGAGGTGCTCAGGAAAAGAAGGGGCCGCTCTTTCCTGGCCTGCTTATGTCTTTAATCATCAACTCTTCTTGCGGGCGGAGGCCTGAGAGGAAAGAACTCCACAGGCCTATATTCGAGGGCAGGGAGAGGGAGAAGCGCTCTTCCTGGACTGACGCTTTCCCTGCATGTGGGGAACTTATTGCGGTGCCTGCCCCACAGGAGCCTACTTCAAAATGGTCTTGGACCTGGCTCCTTGCCTGCAGAGGGAAAAGTGAGGCAACATCACTTGACCCTCCACTCATCAAAGAAACTTGGACACATCTTGCTCTAAGGGTATGTGGCTCCTGGAAACCCAGATTTATGAAATTGAGGTTAAGTCAGAGATTAGGTAGGTTTTTCATTTTACTTGAGGAACATCGAAGGATACCTTAAAATAGGATCTCCCGAGGCATCACAATCCCTGACTTCAAAGCATACTACAAAGCTACAGTATCAAAACAGCATGGTACTGGTACAAAAACAGGTGCACAGATCAATGGAACAGAATTGAAAGCCCAGAAATAAAACCACACATCTACGGACAGCTAGTCTTCGACAAAGGAGCTGAGGGCCTACAATGGAGAAAAGAATGTCTCTTCAACAAATGGTGCTGGGAAAACGGGACAGCCTTGTGTAAAAGAATGAAAATTGATCATTCTTTTTCACCATTCACAAAAATAAACTCAAAATGGATCAAAGGCCTAAAGATTAGACTTGAAACAATAAGTCTTCTAGAAGAGAATATAGGCAGTACACTCTTTGACATCAGTATCAAAAGAAACTTTTCAGACGCCGTAACTCTTCAGACAAGGGAAACTATAGAAAGAGTAAACAAATGGGACTTCATCAGACTAAAGAGCTTCTTCAAGGTGAGGGAAAACAGGATTGAAACAAAAAAACAACCCACTAGTTGGGAAAAAATATTTACAAGTTATTTATCCTACAAAGGGTTAATCTCCATAATATATAAAGAACTCATACAACTCAACAACAAAAAAATCAAACAACCCAATCAAAAAATGGGCAGGGGACATGAATGGACATTTCTCCAAAGAAGATATACGGATGGCCAATAGACACATGAAAAGATGCTCATCATCACTAATCATCAGGTAAATGCAAATCAAAACTACACTAAGATATCACCTTACACCTGTTAGAACAGCAAAAATATCCAAAACAAAAAGTGACAAATTGTTGGAGAGGCTGTGGAGAAAAAGGAACCCTCATACACTGTTGGTGGGAATGCAAACTGGTGCAGCCAATATGGAAAACAGTATGGAGATTTCTCAAAAAATAAAAAATAGAAATACCTTATGACCCAGCCATCCCACTACTTGGTATCTATCCAAAGAACTTGAAATCAGCAATTCCAAAAGTCCCATGCACCCCTATGTTCATCACAGCATTACTTAGAATAGCCAAGATGTGGAAGCAACCTAAGTGCCCATCAACTAATGATTGGATAAAGAAGATACAGTATATATACACAATAGAATACTACTCAGCCATAAAAAAGGATAAAATCGTCCCATTCACAACAACATGGATGGACCTTGAGGGTATTTTGTTAAGTGAAATAAGCCAGATAGAGAAAGACGAACTCTGTATGACTCCACTCACAGGTGGAAGTTAAACAGATAGACAAAGAGAACTGATTGGTGGTTACCAGGGGAAAGGGGGGGTGGGGGGAGGGCACAAAGGGTGAAGTGGTGCACCTACAACATGACTAACAATAATGTACAACTGAAATTTCCCAAGGTTATAAACTATCATAATCTTAATAAAAAGTTTAAAAAAATAAATAGGATCTCCCATTGAAGAGTGTTTGAAATATGATCTGATTCTTAACAATTTTTTCACAAATCAAATTCTTTGGAATTGGATTGTGTATAGTTTTAATGGGAGTAGAGGGATTCATTAGCTACAGCTATGCGGTTACAAGATTGGGTGGGAAAGCAAAAATTCTCAAGGCAGAAAAAGATTCACTAATTAACTGACCACTTTTATAATTATTTCCCATTTAATCATAACTTCCCGTTTTACTGGGTGTCTATCCTGACACATAGCATCAAGATCTTTGTTGGACACCCCCACGTGGTCAATAATACAATGCAAATCAAATGCAAATTGATCACAACAAAGTAAAATTGCATATCCTGCAAAAGATGCAGGTTTTCATCCAACTTGGGTGAGGACACAATTTGAGCTTCAAAAGAGAGTTATTTAAATATCAGAGAATTAAAAAAGGCCCTTGGGAGAGTGAGTGAAGTCCTTTAATACTTTTGCAAAAAAAAAAGACCCATTCAATAATTGTGTGGCCAAAGTCAAATGTGAAGGTCCTAAAATTTTGTCAGTCAAGTTAAGCTAAAAGAATCAACACTTGATTCATTATTTTGATTCCAAAACTTAGCAAATAATTATAAGATTCTAGTAAATATGTCAAATACTAACTTATTTTTATGTTTCATTTTTAACAATAAAATTCAATCAATACTTTAAAAAACACCATTGATGGTGAGATTTTGGTAGTTGTTTTAAGCGATTTCTCCTTTAATTTTTTAAACATCAAATATCCTCAAGTAATGAGGACCGCCTGTGGTTCTTTACCATTTCATGTATATTTCATTTAATACTCAGAGCCATCCTATCTGTTAGACTGAGCAGCTATTAGCACCATTTTACAGGAAAGAAAATTGAGGCCCTGGGAGGGTGATTTGAATAGCACAATATAGTAAATATTAGCTTCAATTACGTAGGCAGTGCAAGTATTCTTATTTTGTACATAAGAAAATTATGTCCCTAAGAGGTTTAATGACTAACCGTTGGCCACGTGGCTAGTAATATTAGTCACATTCGAATCCATGCCTTCTGACTCCCAGATAAGGCCTTATCTTATTGTACCACCAGATCTCTTTACAGATAAAAATAGCAAATCATGATATAACTAACATTTTGAGCACTTACTATCTACCAGGTACCATCCTAAGTGTCTTATATGTTCATCTCATCTAATTCTTACAATAATCCTGAGAAAAGTACTGTGCTTTATTTCTAATGCATAAATGAGAGAACTGAGGCACAGAGAGGTTAAGTGAATTGCCCAATGTTACACAGCTGGTAAATGATGTCAGCTAGAATTAGAATCCAAGTCTGTCTTTGCACTCTTTGACACATTACTGTGTACCTCCTCAGGAATACATCTATTCCACAGAGTGAAGCTCAGGATCTTTGCCCTTAACAGTTATAGTCATGCCCTTAGTGTATAATACATTATATGTTCTGGGGAATATTGCCCTACGACTCTCCTTCCTCAGCTGGTTTACTGGAAAGGAGAAGCCGGACAGAACGAGGCACAGGACAGTTAAGTTGTACTGAGTTAGTTGTTCAAGAGCATGGAGGGCAAATACGCTTCCGCCATGTCAGATGGCAAACCCCCTTGATGGTAGAAGTTGCTAGAATGCAGCCTAAAGTCTAACCAGCGCTCTGTAAGCTTTGAACAAAGAAGTGGCCCACACGGGGCCACGTATTTCCCATCTTACCCTAGGGTAGAGGGCCGGGGAACGGGCACTTGAAGATTCAGTGAATTCATAAAGATTATATCCCCTCTTATTTCACACCACAGTGAGAGCACAGGCTGCCAGAGACGCGGGAGGACGACACGACGGACGTGACGAGGACATAAAAAGCGTCAAAACTCCAAATTCAAGAAAGAACCACTGCCTTTTGATCACAGGAACTGATCCCAGTCAGTTAATGACGACTCTGATTGGTAACCACGCTTCCGAAAGCCAGCCAATCAACAACAGCCACGCCCGAGTACCAGCTTTCCATGGCAGCAGGTCAGCCAACCCCTGAGCTCTCCCTCTTCTGAGAGGCCGCCTCTCCGAGCGGTGCTCCCCCACACCCCAGAGGAGAGCAGCCGTCTGGTTCTCCAAAAACATCGTCTTACGAACACAGTTGTCCCTTACTTAGCAAATAATGCGTTCCTTTCTTTGTTTCAGATAGTGAGTAGTGGTCTCTTCCTTGTCCAAGGGAAAGAGCAGAGAGGGAAAAACACGAAAAAGCCATTGTTATCCCGTCTGAAAAGGTGAAAAAGAAATTTTTATCCAACACGCATAATGGAAGCACAAAAATCCCTAGAAATAAACACACATACGAGCGTGTCAACTTCTGCACTAACAATGTCACAGGGGAATCTCCAGCATATTCAGGAAGCAGGGCTCTGTTGCAACCTCCATTGCGAGGGAGGGATATTCGCTGTCGGATAAAGTATATGTTTAATTCATTTTAGATTGAGTTAAATTGGCACTTCAGTCGTGAATACAGCAGGCTATATTCTTCTTCTTCAGTGACCCATTTGCCCAAAGTACCACAGTGATTAAACACTAAGCAAATACACACATAGGTAAGAAAAAAATAGCACTCAGATGTTGAAAACCTAAACTTATCCAGCACATTAAGCCTAGTGCGGCAAGCATATGTGGTATCTGTTTTTATTAATGGATTTCTATTTCTGGCTTCTTTCTCCCTTCCTGCTTTGGTAATGCTAGATGTATGTACAGAAATCTAGATATTTATTCATAAATTGGTACTTTCTACTGATGAGTTGATACAAACAATATAACTAGGGCCATTATAATGTTAAGTGAGTTTTGAACAAATATAGTTAGAAATCCAATTATCTTTCCATAGAAAGCTTTTGTGCAGAATCATTGTTAAATAAGGGAGGGAAGCCAGTGAGAAAGAACAGGAATTTCTCCTGCCTGCAAAAGGACATTGGAGAATTTCATCCTGCACATGCATTAATTCATTCATGATCCCCCCTCCCCCCAACCCCCATGCAGTCAGCCCACAAAGATCTCTTCCGGCTACTGGAAACTTCCCTTTTTTTAGGATTTGATCGTTTTTTTTAAAAAAATTGAATATATTTGACATATAACTATAATACATAGTTTGACATATACATATAATTGTGTAAATTTAAGGTGAACAACAGGTTAATTTGGTACTTTTTAAATTTTTATCTTATTGAGGTCATATTGGCTTATAACGTGTAAGTTTCAGGTGTACATTATTGAATGTCAGTGGAAGCTTCCTTTTGGAAGTGGAGCAGAGTCAGGAGCGTATGACTTGGGTAAGAAATTAAAAGATGAAATGTAGATCCTTGCGCAGGCAAATGGCTTAGAAGGCAGAGCACCTCTTCTGGGACCTCAGTCTAGAACCTTCAGAGCTTATCAGAGGTGACAGAAACAGAAATCCCTTGCAGTGGTTCCAATTTGACTGGCCTTGGGTCAGCCTTGAATCAGTGCCTCTCAAAATTCAATAGGCACGTGAATCACCTTGGTACCTGGTTAAAAATACGGGTTCTCATGAATAAATTTGGAGTGAAATCTGAGATTCTGAATTTCCGAAAAGATTGCTGGTGATGCCCATGCTGTTGGTCCATGGACTTTGAGTAGTAAGAATCAAGATTATCCTAAACTTAGTTGGGGCAGAGTCTTCCACTTGACTCTCAGCAATGGCCATTAAAACTACGGTGGGGAGGGAGCTTAGAGATCCTCTGATCTTTGAAAATTACTAGCTACAGGACCTCGGGCAAGTTACTTTGCTTTGTAAATCTAACTAAAATCATCTGACTTCACTCCTTCATTTGAAGATATAAAGATAAGTCATTCTGAGATGAAGAATCTTGCTCAGTGTGACACAGCTTGCTAGCGCCAGAGGTCCAGCGGGAACACTATCTCCTGACTTCTAGGCAAAAGCCCTTTCTGCCATTTAGTTAGAGCCCACTGCTAACTGAGAAAGCTGGCCCCGACGCGTGCCCAGCCCCCTTCCCTGCCCAGCCTCAGACACCCACAGAGCGACTGTGGCTTAACCCACACACCCAAATATTTTTGCTACAGCCAGTCCTGACAGCTCAAGTCTTCTGCTGTTAATTATGAAGATTACCCAGATAATTGATTTAATTGGGAACAGAGAGTATTTCAGTGCAACCCGCCAAAATGGATTAGATCTCCTTATTGCAATATGCGGAACCCTGCAGCTCTCAAGGGAGAAGGTATTTTCCCTCTGGGGAAAATTACGGATGCCCCAGTGGAAACTAAGTTATAGACTATGCATAATATGAGTCTTGGTGACCTGGTCCCCAGGGATAAAGTTAAATCTAGTCCAAATGTTGGGCACATACAGTCCTCTCTTCTTCCCTGCCATCTTTATAAACTCTCAATAGAGTTCTTAAGGCCCACACTTGACAGTGATGTCTTTGGGGAAGTCAGAAAGCAGAGAGAGTAAGAAATTCTCTCCCAATGTGGTTTTGCAAATGGGCATTAGCCATAGGCTGTTCCAGCTCAATGGTGAAGAGTAGCACAAACTCTTTCATTTTTCTGCAGTAAAAGGAAAGAAATGACTTCTTTCTACAGCAGTGCTGAGATATGAATAACTGAACTGGAAAAAAATATTAGCTGTCTGTCTAGTGTTGCTGCATAATACAAAATATATCATTCCAGTATCTAATCCAGTGAAAAATTGCAAACACACTAGCAAATGCATGCTACAAGGTATCATCACTTTGGTTGTCCTCATTATTGGTGAATTCAAAATGGGTTATCAATCTAGCTCTTTGAAATCGACTATTTTAATATCCACTTATCCTAAAGACATAACCCTTTTAACAAATCAGCCTCACATCACTTTTAACCTCTGTGGAATATTTGAGCCTTTGTATTTTAGGGGACTGTTGACACTCTAATCAGAGATGAGTTGGAAAAATAATGGGACAGAAACACTTCTATGCATTGTGGATACATTATTGGATGTCTTAGTTTCTTTCAAAGTCCCCATAAACCTGCCACCACAAATCAAACCTAAGATGTTAGCTTACTTACTTTGTTAACCTTCATTATTTGATGGGGTCGGATAATTTCTCATTCCCTATTATGGGTTGGATTGTGTCCCATCACACACAAAAAATGTCAAAGTCCCAACCCGCAGTACCTCAGAATATGAGCTTATTTGGAAATAGGGTCATTGCAGATGTAATTAATTAAGACGAGGTCATACTGGAGTAGGATGGGCCCTTAATCCAATATTACTGGCATCCTTATAAAAAGATGGCCATGTGAAGACAAACACAGACAGAGAACACCATGTGAAGATGGAGGCAGAGATTGGAGTGATGTACCTACAAGTTAAGGAAAGCCCAGGATTGCTGACCATCAGTTCCTGAATGTCACTAGAAGCTAGGAGAGAGGGATTCTCTCTCAGAGCCCTCAGTTGGAACCAACCCTGCTGACACCTTGATTTTGGACTTATAACCTTCAGAACTGTGCGAATAAATTTCTATTGCTTTAAGTCACCCAGTTTGTGGTACTTTATTATAACAGCTTGAGGATACTAATATATCCCTCTTCTAAGGATTGTTATATTTCCATCCTCTATGTCAGGTTAGACCCTGGTTGACCCTCTGAGGTAAGAATGAATCTGAAATTCTAGGAAATAAATGAGCTTGAAGATGGGAAACTTTCCCAGCCCGATACAGGCTTTGGACTGAACCAGTATTTTGTCAGATTTGTGTCACTTTTTTTTAAAGAACATACGGATGACCCTTGGGTCTCCTGACTGTCTGTCTGGGATCTGTCAGTGTGAAGCAAAACGCATTTGGAAATGTGAAATTTGGACTGCACTCCTTTCAACTGATCACCATTCTTTGATTCAGTCAATGAATATTTATCTTCTGCCCACAGGGACAGGAAACTGACATGCTGAGTACTTAGAAGTAACTGGTCTTATCTTCATTTGCCTTTCCATAAACATTTATATCCACAGCATCAGTGTCACAATCTATAGTTGATTGATTTGGAAGTTGTGTGTTTCTCTGAGCCTTACACCAGCTTGTGAACAGATAAGAGCTATCAAAATTTCTTCTCAGAGTCTTTACATAAATGTGAACCAATGGTAATAGTTTATGCTGGAAAACAGCTTTCATCTTGCATAGCACACAGTAGGCCAACAGTAATGGACTGGTAATGAATGCCAAGGCCAAGAGCTTTGTATTGAGGTCGGTTATGAGACCACCCCCAGACTCAGCAGGAACACGTGATGTCTATGCTTAGCATATGGAGGTACAGCAGTGGTGAATGGGCTGAGTGCTGCCCTGCTCTTCAAGCTCAAGTGGAAAGACTTAGGTTAGACCCTGAAAAGAAAATTGCAGAACACAAAATATAACTTTAATAACAGAATATGTGACACTATGAATCTTGGAGAATGGCTTAAGAAACTTGGCATGCACTTTTCCTAACCTTTCTCTAATGATAATGTATCTAATATCTCAGACTAAAGAAGTAAAGTTGGTATTTTGGTTTTTTGACGATCATTTTTACTTTCCAAGCTTGTGAGCCTGGTTTCTTTCGGGGTCCATGTTCAGGATCCTTCTCCTCCTGCCTAAGTAACTCACACGTCAGAGCAGCTACAGCATCTCCAAGTGCTTGGAAACTATTGGCCAACTATTTCACACAATCCTTGTCCTTCAGAACTCATTAATCTAGGCTTAATGTGAATATCAACTTTCTAGACATCCCCTATCTAAGTAGCTTGTAATGATAATAGCTACTTATCAAGAAAAACTAGTTTCAATGCCTGTGCCTTTGAACAACAGCATCCCGTGTATAATAAGAACATCTCTGGATCAGTCAATCCTTTCCCTGGGGAATTTCATGCTGGTTTTTATATAGTGTTAAGTATGTTGGCAGATCAAATATCATCAATCTATGGATTAGTTTCACTCCTTTGGCTGTAAGAAACAGAGAACATCCATATACTGATGCCAGTGTAGACTCTCATTAGCCAGCCTAGGTTACAATCCCCTCCCTGTGGTAGTGGGGTGTGGTGCTCCACTGATAACCCCATCAAGATCCTATAAAATGGGGGAGGGGTTCCTCTGAATGGAACCAGCACAATAGGGATGGGATAGTATGCTGATCAACAACTGTGAATACAAGGCCACTTCAAGATCCTGATCCCCTCAAACTCAGGCACCCAAAATTATATCTCAATGTATCTCCCACAGTTTCCAGCACTGCACTTGAAAATAGCAGTCTTTCAATAAATTCTGATCAAACAAAGAGGATGTAATGAGGTAAAGAGCTCGTCTCCATACCTCTGCCTCACCTCTTCTAGAACCTGATCTTATACCAAGCCAGAAACAGGACTCCAATCCAAGGTATCACGGCTCCAAGGCTTCTGATTTGCACAGTTTTTTGTGGTGGAGGGTCACCTTGGTGTAGAATGGAGCCCACTAGGCTGGACTGCCTGGGCTTTCACAGTTACCTCAGTTAAGGCCTCATTCAGGTTGAATGAGAAACCTAAGACTGGTTTAACATGCTTCCTCCAGGTAAGGCGAGAACTGAACTTGCTCTGTGGCAGTGAAATAGACAGCATGAATTGCTATCTGGTGCCTCGCAATCTCTGCCTTGTCAATCATCATGCATTTCTCAGTCTGGGCTCTATAGCACAGACTTCCCAGAATCCTCAGACATGCAACAAATCTCTGCTCTTCTCTGCAAGAAAGTGGGCTTCCATTTCCCCTCCCTGCTCTCCTCTTCAGAAGCTCCACTACTCAAGGTCCTCCCGTCAGTCACTTTCCCTCTGAGGTCTTTGAACGCTAAGCTGCTTTGGAAAAGAACACACTTGATTGTCAAGCCAGGCTCACCTCACATCTTAGAACTTACTGACACCTGCTGGACAGTTTCTCTCTCTCTAGAAAGCATCTGAGCAGAAGCCTTTGCTCTCTGTGTGATGGTCCTAGGACGTTGGCTTCTAGAACTGGGACAGGAATGGAGAAATTTCCATGCCCTGCTGAGTGCTGTGTCTGCTCAGTGAAAACGTGCCTCTCCCCCACAGAGAACAGACTTGAGAATCTCCAGCCAACTTCAAAGACAAAG